GTGCAGACCACGATGCCGAGGATTCGGACGTCCCGAATGACAAGGATCGGTAGAATTCAACTGATGTCCTCACCGATCCTGGCCAGGCCCATACTGAGCCCAGGATCGGCGTATGTGCCCTCCTGGCTTGGCTTGGAAATCATATACACTTGATCCAGGGTCTAGGATCTGCCTGGTCATGATCGGTATAGTTGGGGAACAGAATATGTTTTTTTTCCGCTGCTTCCCGGTCCTCTCCAGGCCTGCGTTCTGACCAGAATTTCCAGGCGAATGCAGCCGTGGCGACGAGGATCTCTCAGGAGGCCCGGGAAAGTCCAAACGAGGGAAGGGTAGCCGTATCGGTAGAGGTCAGTTGTCGTCCCCCGAAAGGATGCTTCGCCCTTCTGCCCCCGGGTCCTGTTTCAGGCGACGATCAAGGCGACCAAGCCAGACCTGCTGAGTGCGCTGCTCCTGGAGTCGGGCACCGACGTGCACGCGGTGGACCTCAAGGGCAATTCGGTCGCTGGGGGACAAGCAGATGCCGACTTCGCTTCTCCCTGGTCCTCTGCTAGGGTGCTTGCTGACCAGGCCCTGACATCTTCTCGCTGTGAAAAAATCACGACGATTGGTTTTTGGTAGTTGTCGTTTTTTGGGGGCCCTCGCCGGGACCCGAGGCCGTCAAAAACGGCTCGGGGTCCAGACCTTTGAGGAGCCACGTTGTGAAACAAGTGCGATGTCGGATGTCTGGGAGATACCGAGGTGGATCCAGCAGTGGCGACGAGGGCCCCCCAGGGAGGCTCCACAGAGGCACCGAAGAGACCAATGTCGGTGCCGTCCTCTCCCCTGAGGTCATGCACTTCTGGGCCCGCGCCACGATAGGGAGGGACCACCTCATGACGATCGGCGCGGAACTCCTGGGTGCTGGCGCGGACCTGAACGCGCAGCGCACAGACGGCATGTCCCCGCTGCACCACGTATGCCGGAGGGGGGAGCTCGCGCGTGGGCGGCGGAGACGGGGGCTGCGGGGCGATTCCGTGGGCAATGGGGGCAAGAGTAAAAGGAGGATGATGAGGAGGAATAGGAGGAAAAGGAGGAGGAGGAGGAAAAACAGGAGTTCAGTTCAGTTCTCAAGCCCTTCAAAACGGGAAGACAGGAGGAGGATGAGGAGGAGGAGGAGGAAAAGGAGGAGGAGAACCAGTGTAAAACCAACCCTCATCAACGATATTGCAATCAACTCTTCCTCCAAGCTCCTTCTTCATACACCGCTACAAGGATTCATCTGCATTGAAAGAAGTGCCCCGTTGGAAAAAAAAAATGAAAATCCGGAAGTGTTCCAGAAACACCATTCCTGGGACTTCAGCGCCGCAAATCACGATTGTTGCGTTTTGACGATCCTGAATCGTGCCAGAACGTCACGCCTCGGACTTCAGGACCACGAATCACCGTTACTGTTGCGCCTTGACAGTCCGACTTCGTGCCAACTCACCGTTTCTGGGACGTTACCCACGAGAATCCTCGCACTTCCGGCGCTAAGGCGGGAACCACATTTTGAAAAGGAGCCGCCCTCCATCCGTGAAACTCTTTCAAATGTTTAAGACGAGTGTGCGCGGCGCTAGGGCGAGAGCCCACCCCAGGAAGCCAAGCATCCGGCAGGACGCGTAGGCAGAAGAGTCGTTACCATGCGCTCCCTGCCGCCGAATATGTACATACAGTATTGAGTCGAACATTAACTTGACGGATTCAAAGCTGTATGGGATCAGAGGGAAATGACGCGCGCGCCCCGCGCGCTCTTTTCTCCCTATCCGCTTAACGGACAGTCGAACCTCATGCTTCAACGGCTACCGCCGCTTTCTTTGCCGCCATGGTCTCTCGGGAATCCTCGAGCCCAAGACGTTCCTTGGAACCAATGCTAGGCGCGCCACATTTACTACTTGTACATCCTGATCACATTGGCCCTGTTGGGCTTAAGTTGGGTATAGATGGGTTATCAGTCGAATGTGCCGATGCAAGAATGACCGACCATGTTGGTCGTCTTAGGGCTAACAAGATACTCGCCCCGCAAGAAGCATTGAATGCGGGATATGACCTTGGCTGAACAAAACCAGGAAAACATGATATTCAGGTCGACGGACCGACGTCATCGACCTCCCCGCGCATCCAATATCAAGAAAGAACGGGCGGCATGCCTGTCAACCGTGGAAGACGGGATGCGCCTATCCCAGAATATGTATCGGATGCAGAATATGAATGGTACGGCGGCAAAAGCCGCCCCCGGAACCCGCTCTCCGATGACGTCGCGCAAGCGCGCGTCGTCCCGTCCAGTTCGTCGGGCGAGGAAGGAATGGTAAAGGCCCCGAAGAACAAGAAAGAAACCTTCTCCGTGTCGCGCATTTCGGAGACGATCGAGACGGCAATGCTCGAAAATACGCCTGCTAGGGGGACTGCGGGCCCATTTTGGAAGACCGTGAAGACCAAGCCGGGGCCCGGGGGCCATCCCCCGGGGGGGCCGCGACGGAATCGCGGCACGGAAAGACCCCGAGGGAGGGCCCAGGTAACGTCGAGGTGTCGCCTTGCGAGAAGCGTCCCAAAATCGAGACCGGTGGGCTGGGCGTCCATGACGCGCCCAGTCCAGTGCCGGGGGCCCGACCCCGAGGAAGACAGCTCTTCGATTCCCCGAGCTCCATCTCCCAGAGATCTAGGTCGGGAATGGGCGGCCCTAGCCGCGCGTCGAGGAGCTCCCAACGCAGTTCGTCTCTGTCGAGATCGTCGGCGCCCCGATATATGGTCAAGGATGCTTGCGCCCATCAGGGGCCGAACTGCGCTGAAGGCACCGGAGGCTGCTGCCCTGGCCGCGCGTGCGAGAACGGGTCGTGCAATAATCCAGTGTGCCGAGGCTGCCCATTCCAACGTTCGCTGTGTAACTTGAACTACTTGTGCCTTGCCTGTGCGCCTCCGAAGCAACGCAACTGTTTTGCTCTCAAGAACCGCGAATGGGAGCATCAGCGAGAGATGAGGCAGCAGAAAAGGGAACAATAGCGCATTTCCGAAATTGCTGCAATGCGCGCGATGATGATGGCCGACGTGGAAGCCAATCAGAAAAGGCAGGCCGACATGATCGCGCAGCTGGCGGAGCGCGAAATTCACGAAATCCTCTAGAGGGAAGGGGGGAGAAAGCGATCCTCCATGCGGCTGCGCTTTCGGCGGACCGTGGGGCTAAGGAACAGACGAAGGCCGAATGGGCCATGGCGGAGCAAGCGCGTCAAGCCCTCCGGGGAGCTCGAGACAGGGAAGCGCAGCTCGAGAACGGCGTCCGTCTGAAACTCCAGGAAGCCACGGCGTTTCATGAACAGTCAGTCGCTAGGGCGGAACAAGCCGCCGTGAAATCAATCGCTGAGAAACGCCACTTGGAGGAGAAGGCTTTTCACGCCCAAGAGACGGCCGGGTCGCCCCTGCGAGCTGCGCAAATGATGCAGCATAAGTTGGAGAACGAGGCTCGCGTCTCGCGAGACGGAGCTGCGAAGATACATGCAGAGCTCAAACTAGTCGCGGGAACCGCGTCGGCCATCCGGGGGGGGGGGGCTTGTGGGGGGGCGACGGCGCTACTTCAAGCATGGGCTGAGGCTCTCGCTGAACGCGAGTCGGCTTGCCGCCGGGCGGCCGAGCTGAGGTCTATGCGCCAGCGCGCTCAGCAGGTCGTGGCGACGTCTCAGGCCGGCCATGCCAGTGCGGAGAATGAGGCGGAGGAAGCAATTCAGGCCATGCGGAATGCCGAAATGCAGGCCCAGTTGGAAGTGGAGACAGGGAAGCAATACTTCCAAAAGGAGGCTGTCTCGACCGTGCGTGAATGGGGAGCTCAACGCGAGTTGACCTACCGACGGCAAGTAATACAGCTGGTGCAAGTCGGTCAGCAGGGCATGGCAAGCACGGTCAGAAGGGCTGCATCGGCAACCGCGTCGCGGGTCCGAACGTCGGGGGGGGGGGGGGGGGCGTGAGTCGGCGAGAGGGCTCGCGATCCAGACCGGCCATAACCGATGAAAACCGATGCTTCACCTGCAACGCTTCCGACGCCCCGCACCGATGTGAAAGGTGCGAAGGGCCGTTCTGCGAAGTGCACTTCGACTGGGTAATGAAGCTCTGCCGTCAGTGCGAGCAAGACAGGGCACGTGGCCACGAAGCAGGGCTGAGGAGGCAGCGCGAGGAAGAAGAATAAGCCCCGATGAAGAAAATTGTGCTCGGGGGGGAAGAGAACGCTCGGTCCAGAGACGAGATCGGGGCCCAGGCGGAACCCAGGGCTCTCCGTCGCATCCGGGAATTTGAGGAATTTGCAGAACTCCGCGTGGTGAAGTTAGAAGAGAGTGCGCTCAAGCCAACGAGATGCGAGAGAAGGCCGATGCGCTGATGAAAGAATCAGAACTTAGCGCGAACACGGCCAAACGTGATCGTCACGAGCACCGGGAATGGGCCCCCAGCGAGGCGCAATGAATGCAAGAGGAACAGAAGAAGAAGAAACGGGGGGAATCATCGGCTAATTCCTTCCCAGGGTACACGCCGCCTGCCCAGCCGAGGAAGACCACGGCCTCTGCCGGGGATCTGGCAGGGGGCGGTGTTAAACACTTTCGCCAAGGCAATGCCGACGGTGAAGGAGATTCGCTGGGAGGAAAGAAAGGCGGCGTAGGTGGAGCGCCAGGGGGTGATGATCCCGGTAACGATAGTGATGATGATGATGGTGACGACTACGAGCCGAGCGATGGAGACGACTCCGAGACTCCGAGGCGGAGGACTCGGACGGTGAAGAGGATGACGAATCCGAGGAAGAAGAAGATGAAGAGGCTGCCAATGGGAGGACTGGTCGATATGCTCTTGCCCGGAGCTCCGATCATGGCAATCCGGGGGGTGGTGGCCCTCCGCCGTCGGGCCCGCCTGGAGGCGGTGGCGGACCGGGGGTCCCATTGTGCGGGGGTATGGTTCCGACCGCTGCCCCATGGGCAGCGGCGGGCAGGATTGGCGATGTCACGCTCGACCCCCTGCCCGACGCGGGGAGTTTCCGAGCGTGGAAGAAGTCCGTCATTCGACGGGCGGCTTCATTCTCTTAACAAAACCGCATTTCGGCGTCGAAGTGGGTGGCCGAGGCCTCTGAGCCCAAGTCGGTGAAAGCCCGCGCGCTCAAAGACCCAGGCCCGCTCTCTGGGAATCTTGACGTGCGAATCGCAGCGGGCCTCATAGGGAAGCTGATTAATATTCAGAGAGATCCCAACTCCTCTCGCGCCCTTCGCCACCTCGCCGACGAAATTGACCGCGCAGACACAAGCCAAATGGGGAAAGGGCGACTGCGGACGGGCAGGTCGATTCTCCGAATAATCCAGGTGCACGTCGCCACGCGTGATGACCACGGACAGGTGTGCACTTATGAGGAGGGCCCCATGGCGATCCAGATCAAAGGAGAAGGAAACGAGGCTGATCAAGACCTCCTTGCCATTTCTACGATGAATGGATGGGGGTGGCGCAGGAAATTGAGAGACCTCGCAAATCCTTCAGACCCTCGATCCCAACAGATGAAGAAATGCCCCTGCGTGCAGATGACTCCCGTCATGTATGACCGCAGTGGCGATGAGTACTGGAAGGGCATGAAGTCTCGCGAGTGGCTTTTGGGGCAGATCGCGAGGCAGATGTTGAAGGGTGGATGGGGGGGGGGGGGGCGACCGCAGGGCCCAGAAGCAGCAAATAAACGAGCGCGGAGTGGAACGCAGCGGAGGCAAGGCAGGGGATGGGGGCAAGGACTCGATCACCATGAAAGATGGACGGCTCAAGAAGTTTGAAATGTGCCGACGATGGCGCAAAGACCAATGCCCTTTCAGTCGGAATTATTGTTAATGCCTGCGCCCCAAGAAAGCGACGCCCGCGCAACAGCTAAAGCGCGGACGAACCCAGGCCGCCGCTCCAGGGCCCACCCATGGAGGGCCGACAGGGAGGGGCCGGGG